TCCTCCAAGGATTCGTCTCCAGCTCGAGCATCGGTCTCACTGGTCGCGAGGAGGAATTCCATTGGCCTGGCGCCACTCCAAGTCGTCCTGGTAGTAGTCGCGGTTCATCTGTTGAATCTCGTCTTGGGTCCAGCCGAAGTCCATGGTTGCTTCGGTTTCCATCGGACCGGAAGTCATAGGTCCTGGCAGGTGCGATGCTTGGTGCAGGGTCGAAATGCTCTGGAGCACTTGGTTCAGCATCCCTTGGAACTTGTGGTCCTGCATGGTGAGGACTTCCTGTAGCTCTTGAGCGGTCACTCCAGGAGATGCCTTGGCCTTTGCGCCAATTGTCTCGGGCGCTTGAGAAGGTCTCGCCATTGACGTCTCGGGGACATGTCTTTCCGTTGAACTGGTAGATCCACTTGCCTTCGAGGGAGTTGGCTTTTGAGCGATCTCGGCAACCAAGGGGCGGCAAGCTTTCTTGAGATCTTCCACAGTCATTCCAGTCTGGACGGGGATGTTCAGGAGTGAAGCCAGTTTCACCAGGTCTGCCTTCAACGTTGGCAGGCCTCCCTTTGGGCCGATGAGGGAGCGCACCATGTCGTGCTTCTCTCCACGCTTGGTAGCGGCCTCGGCTTCGAGTTGGGCTTCCTGAATGGCATCCCGCTTCAATTGGGCCGTCAGGCCTTTGCTGGCGCGTGCCGCAAGCATTCCTTGCAACATGTTGTCCTCCATGAAGGCGAAGTTGAGGCCAGCACGGTTCCTGAATTGTCCCAAGTCCAGGAGGTTCTTGGTCGTGTACACTGACGGTTCTTGGGTTCGAGCTCGCTGCCAGTGCTTGACCATCAATGCCTTTGGCTTCTGGAGGGTCATAGATTCGGCTTGTTCTTGCCAATGTCTGGTATGGCTGATGCTGGGGTACGGAAAGGGCGCGTACCGCAGCTGCGGACGAGGCAACAGCCATAAGAGCAAGCCATGTGCGTGCCAAGCGGCCTTTGCGCGAAGGCGGAGAAGCATTCGCCGCCAGCGCAGCACCACCTTCGTGTAGTCGTTCTTGGTCAGGTCGAAGTGCTGGGCCGCTTCCATTACGATCCACAGATCCTGCGAGGGCTCGAAAGGTCGTCGAAGAGGATGTCGTCGGGGCTGAAGGACGTGTTTGAGCCACCTTCATAGCTTGAGCCCCGGCCGATGTCGCAGCAAGGATCGCATGCTCTGTCACAAGGTGCTCATGCGGTGCTTCGGAGGTTGACTCAAAAGGCACTTCAAAATGACTCATCTTCAATTGCAACTGTTTCTTCCAAAAATCAAAACTGTTCAACTGAAGTTCAACTATGCCGTCTTGTCCAAGTTTCCGCCAGCGTTGGGAGTCCGGACGAGGCCATTGGCGTGGCTGGAGTGGAAGGGCGAAGTGGCCTGCGGCCAGCTGACCCAACTCCAAGAGTTCGCCACCCACCAAGTCAGCTCTCAGTAGCTTGCGGCCGAACGAAAGGACCGCACCGATAGCGCTCAAAAAGTCTCTTCCCAAAAGGAGTCCCAACGATGGCACTGGCACTATTGACACCCACACCAAAACCAAAGTCGAACCCAGGGCCATAGGGAGTCTGTACCTCACGGTGCTTCTTTGGGTACCACCATTTCCAAACCTGAACAACTCATTCTCGGGGGTGGTGATGATGAGGTTCTGGATATAGGAAGGAGCACGTTCGAGGGCTTGGAGGTAGAAGGCCAACCATGAGGAACCTGCGCATGTTCTATTGCAAGCACTATCCAAAGCTCCAACGAATCTCTTGTCTTGTGCGAGACGTGGAGTGCTCTTGGGGTCGGTATGGTGTTGCGTGAGGACTTCGAACAATGGGCGATCCCATGAATCGCCGGCGGCCACTGTCATGACCTCGTGGCCCATGTCATCAGGTTCTTCAGGAGCCACATGTTCAGTGTTCAGGGTCTCGGTGACACGGACCTGCTTCGTCATCTGGCTCTTAGGCTTTCCTTTGGGTCGAGCCAGGCCAGCACCAGGGGCCTTGCAGCCTGCATCACCAGCCCAGTGTCCCGTCTCACCACAATCGAAGCACTTTGTAGTGCTCTTTTGGCGAGGGACTTGATTGCCATGGGGCTTCGTCGAACGAGGAGCCGGTTGGCCAGGCTTTCCATATCCACGGTCTTTCTTGACCTCAGCTATTTTGGTGCGTGCTTCACGCATTGTCAACAGACTCTCTGCGGCCTGTTCCATGCCGCTCTCCAAATCTTCAAGCACTCGAGGGTCGCAACCTTCAGTCTCGAGCTCCTGCAGCTCTTGGGCAAGAAGCTCAGCTTCGGTCTGGAGGACTTCTTCGATCGTCAGGTTCTCAGGAGGGTAACCCTGACCATCATCGTCTGGAATCAGCTCTTCATCTTCCGCCTCCATCTGGCCTTCCTCTTCAGGGGCCTCGGCAATCAAGGCTTGTCGAGGTTGAGTCTGCTGGCCAAAACGCTTGAAAGGTGGCCGGCTGGAACCAGAGCTCTGAGTCCGGAAGGAGCGAGAAGAGGGAGCCGTCGAGCTGGCTGTAGTCGAAGGCCTGTAGGACGAAGAGGAGCTGTGTCTGTCATGAGACTGTAGGAAACGCTGGAGTAGTGGTGCCTTGTCAAAAGGTCGGCTCTTGTTCAAAGGGTCGGAGGAGTGCAAATCTCGAAACAGACGAAGGCATTCTGATTCGACCACATCATAGTTCTCCCGACCTGCCAATGCTGTCTCCAACAACTGCTTCCTGATTGCATCCAGTCCCAAACGTTCTTTCAACATCCAGCCTAACTCCTCCTCCGGCATCACTATGCCTTCCCGCTTGAGCTCAGCTGCAAGGGTCCGGAATCTCGTGCAAAATGCTGAGATTCTCTCTCCAGGGCTGCGTTTGATTTCTTGGTAGTAAAGGGATCGGAGTTCTCCCTTTCTATCTAAAGCTGTCTTCCCAACCGTGGCCTCCAAGGCAGTCATGAGTTTCTTGAGGCCAGCAAAAGGGTCTGCAGCAACCCGAATCACCTTGTCGCCGGTGTCAGGATCGGTCATGGCTTCTTCCTTGGTCCCTTCAAGATCCTGGGGATCGAATTCTTCACAACGAGCCCTGACCACACCATATTGTCTAAGTGCCCATCGGGCGGCAACATTGAACTTCTTGCAGGATTCTTCATCCAGCGAAGCCATCCACCAGTTCATCTCCCGGCGGAACTGTCGCCATTCCGCCGGGTTGCCCGACCACGTCGGCACCCGGTACCAAGAGCTGGTGCCGGATTCTTCGGCTGAAGTCATCTTCACGGCCAAAATGGCCAAAAACAAAAGTGAGGCTGCTGCAAGGTGTTCAAGGAGCTCCGCAAGTTCTGAAGCTCTCCAAAGAAAAGGTGGTCTTAGACCGAAAGTGAAGTTGCGCAACAACGGTAGGGCCCAAAGCAAAAGGAGGGTCTATGTACCCCCAAAGGTCACTCCAACAAGGCACTGCTCGGCGGCAAGGGCACAGTGAAGTGGTTCAAGAAAAAGGTGTCCACAAACAAGAGAATCTAGTTATTCTCAAAAGGTTGGCACCGACCACGAAGTCCAGAGCGTCTGGCTCGAGGTCGTGTGGAGCAGCCCAGAAGCTTAGCTTGAAGGCCACGAAGACGAGGAGAAACGAGGCAAAGCGAGGCGAAGCAAAGCAAGCAACGGCGGAGTGCAATGCCCAGATCGAGATAGGCTCCGGTGCCACTGTAGACGCACTAGCAAGAGCGTCTGCCAGCGCGCCGTTTTCACCTAAGGCGCAGCACGAAATGGCTTCAGGCCTTGATCCAAGCGAACATGAACAACCATGTTCCTCCGCATGCCCAACACCGAAGAGCAAACTCAACTTTCACAAAGCTATATAAAAGGAAGAGATAATTAATAAGGAAGGAGAAGGCTTTCTTTGAGGCCTTTTGTCATGGACTTGGCTACCTCTTCCTAGTGTGCCCACTGTGTGGTTTGAATGCATTCTGTCCTACATGTAACACGAAGAAAGAAAACGAAAAGCATAAAGAAAAGCCCTCATTCCTCATGTAAGAATCGAATGCTCTCTTGGTCGTCTTCATTTAAAGGATGGAAATGTTCGTTGGCTCTTGTCCGCAAGATGCGGCAACTGGTGTTGAGCCAAGAACTTGGGACCTGAGACCTTGGAACCCTAATAGCGATGGCCTCCAACTTACTAGCGATGGCCTCCGACCTACTAGTGATGGCTCCAACGCTTCAGAACGGGGGCAAATCCTCAAAGTCTGACCATCTGCAGCCATGGTCTGAGCCAAGACTGACACTGAATGCAAATTGTTGTGCGTTTTAGCGCTTGGCAGCTAAGCTGTCTATTCTTCCTGGATTGGAAGATTGTTGTCATCTTGACGGATTCTCACCAATTGATCAATCTCCAAATGCGAAGGCACGAGATTGATCAATATGTGGATTGATTGCTTCTTCTCACTGGCTTTGTGGATGTGTGCCGAGTTGCTGTTGACATCCCACTTTGTCTTTTGCAAACTGGCACCACGGTGATGAAGGTCTTTTGAATGGTGACATTCCACTCGCAAACTTCTGATTGATTACTCTCGAGAGCACTTGTGGAATGGTGTGCGGATGCTGCAGCGCGTAGCGCTGCTGCAGCTATGGCTTCGTTGCTTCTGGCCGTCGCCGCCGTCGCCTGCTCGGCCCTCTCAGCAGCTGGCACCTGAGAGGCGTGCGGCGCTGCCTGCCGACGCACCACAGCTGCAGCACTTCGCCCTGCAAACACCGCCGATGCTGCCATTCGGACGGCCGCGGCCCGTGCTGCTGCAAGCTGGTCATCCATGGTGTCTAAACCGAAAGCACTGCAGGAAAAAACATCTTGGATGTCACTACGTAACAAGCACGGCTTCCTTTGCAACAGTACTCTGATTTAAAGGTGGTTCTGGGACTTCACTACTACTTGCCACTGCCACTGACAAGAATACTGCCTCACAAACCAAGTGAGCAACCAAACCAAGAAACATCAAGAAACCACCATTGACGAGCACCACACCTGCTGGAACTTGAAGTCCTTCCTGCACATCTCTAGCAGTGTCCGAACATGACCTTGCATTTTGCATACTCTCTTTTCTGCCTGGGGCTCAGCATCCAATCGCGGTTTCTTCTCCGGAGGCCTGCCAGTCCCAGCATTTGGCAGCAAAAAGTGAGTGCGCATCGCCATCAAAACTAGGATCCAAACTCGCCGTTGCTTGGCACTGACGACTCCATCGGGTCGATGTCACCATTGATGGGGACAACCTGTGGTCATCGATGTCATCTTCTTGGAGACTTGATGGCCACACCAAGTGCCCAACTCGCTGGAGGTCTCGGCCTGATCAATACCACCATAAATTACCACCATCCATAAAGGTTTGAGTTCATGTGGGATTTATGTCGCCTCAATCGTGCCACACGACATCTTGAACATAATCGGACAAGAAAGTCAACAGCTTCCAAGGGCACTGGGTTGAAAGTAGAAACAAGTGCATCGCTAGTAGTAACAAGTGCCTTACTAGTAGTAACAAGAAGCTAGTAGAAACAAGTGCATCGCTACTAAGGGCACTGCGTCGAAAGTAGAAAAAGCTGTTGTTCGGCCCCTTGACCTCACAGCGTGGGAAGCATGTTTAATCTCCCATGCCATGCCTCGTGGTCCATGCCTCCCGGTGGGCTCCATCTGCACGGACGGCATATTTGTCCTCTAGAAAATAGGCCTGGAAGTCTGGAAGTGGGAAAGCGAAAAATTGAATTGCTAACTGGCTTCAACTAAACCCTTCTGATCCTTCTGCGAGGAACGTTTTAGTCCGCGACCCGAGTGACCACGCCCTGGCGGCCATCACCAAAGATCACGGCCTCATCTCGTCCCAACGAAACTCAGCATGAAATCTGGGATCTACTAGGAGCAAGGACGCTACTAGGAACAAGTGCATCGCTTCGAGTAACAAGTGCGCTACTAGGGGCTCCTGGCATCGCTACTAGGAGCAAGGACGCTACTACTGGGATCTGTCATGAGATCTCCAGACCGTACCCAAGTGAGGACCCATTCAGGACCCTGAGTCAATCGGGCACTCTTACTCAGCATGTCAATGACAAATTGCAACTTGAAGTGAACGGGTGAGGATGTGGTGGCTGCTTGGCCCGTGGGGGCACCCATTGGCTGATTGGTTCCTTTGACCCAGTACCATGCTTGTTCCTAGTAGCGATGCCCTTTGTTCCTAGTAGCGTCCTTGCTCCTGGTAGTAAGGCCAGGAGCCAGATGATTGGCCTTTCTTGTGGCATTTGCGGTTCGAGCAGTTGAGAACCCTTTATGAACAGACGCGTGGGCAATTTCAAATCCGCGTTGTCCATGTGCCTTTGCAAATCTGGCTAGGCAAAGACTTCTTGCAGGCTTGTCGCGCTGCTCAGCAGAATGTGCGCGCTAGCCCGGACTTCTTTGTCCGTGGCTTAAGCTAGTAGTGTGCTGTTGATTCGATGAAACAAGCAGATCTTCTACACTGCACCCTTGTGCAGCTCGGATTCAGAGTGATGTAATTGGAGGAAGGGGTCGTTCATTCAAATACATGTAGGATGAAGGCTCACGAGGGCTTAGACCAACAGTAAGGAATGCTAGCACCAAACAGTCGGCGTTGACAAATCACATCTTTGCAAAGACTTTACCGCTTACCCTGTCTACTCAGTTGGCTGTTTAAGAAAACAACTTTAAGGAAGCGAATAGCGATAGCCTCCACCCTAGTGGCGATGGCCTCTCTTTGTTTGTCATGTTAGTTTTTTGCTGGACCGCTGGACTCAGTGACTCAGTGCGCTCCATCTGGGTGTTAGGGTGAATGAGCTCCCAGACCTCTCCCCGCTGGAGCGGTGGCTCAAGGGGCTCCGCCACCTCGGCAAAAAGAAACAAGAAAAAAAACAAAAGCGTTCTTGTTTCTAATAGCTTCTTGTTACTAGTAGGGAGGAGCCCCTAGTAGCTTCTTGCTCCTAGTAGTATGGCCAGGAGCCCCTGGTAGCGTCCTACTATTTGGAGTTTTCAAAGAAACCAGATGGGTTTAAGGTAAGGTGCCAGGGTGCGACTGCAATTTGTTGAAATTATGCATATTGACAGCCTGCAAATCCTCTGTCCACAAGCTCGCAATGCCAATGAAAACGCATGGCCGTTTCAATCTCTTAAGGTTTTTTTCCCAAAAGTTGCATCCCCCATGCCAGCAATACCGATACCAAAAGCCCTAAACTTGCCATGCAACGACCTTAAGTCTGACTCGTCCAAGTCAAGCGGCTGCAGAACCCTCTGGATCTGGCGCTTTTGCCTCCATGAAGCACCCGCCCAGCTCATGCCGGGCACAAAACCGGACGCAATGACCTAGCTTGCATGTGACATCCCGTTGATCACATTGCATGTGCGCAGTTTGGGAAGCTAGCCTTTGCACACCAGATGGCTGTAAGAAATCGTTACTCGCTAAACTGGTGACAACTGCAACATGCAAGTCGGGGCAGCGAAGGATACCATCTGAAGTCAGAACAAAGCAGGCCTTCGTCTGTTCTTTGGGGTGATGTACATCAAAAACATGTGTCCAATGCCATGCCCACCCCCCTTCTTTGAGCCAACAGCAGCTGCAAACTCCACATCGACAAGCTGAGACACACGTGGTCATAAGCAATCTGCAAATACCAATTCGCATGGTGCATTGTCAATACAAGAAGGTATATCGCGGTACTTATCACTGTATACCCCAGGAGTCCAATGCTCAGCGCTTTACAAAGATGTTTCGAATAAGCCCTTAGATTCCTGGGCCGTCCAAAGCTTCTTCGGAGCTTTTCAGAGCTCCCCGGGGTGCAGTTTCCTAATGGCTTACAAGAATCAACGCCTAAATTTAAATAAACAAAAGTCTTGCTTCCAACGCCTGTCTAGTTTAGCTCAACTAAACATCAAGTCCAGAACTCACTAATTATATATTCATTTCCTTGTGCCCCTCGCCCTCAAAGCCCTCACCTTCAATTTTCAACCCAAAGGGCCATCTGCCCGGCTACCTTCCGCAGTGTACTCAAGCCTGACAGACAAATCATGACAAATCCAACTGACCTCTTTGACAAAATAAATCAAGCTACGAGGGGCTCCTGGCCTTACTACTAGGAGCAAGAACGCTACTAGGAGCAAGCGCCGCATGGTCTTAATGGTTTCAATGGTGCCTGTACCGTCTGGCGGCAGCACACTCCGCATCAAAGAGCGCAGCTCCAAAAGCTGCGGCCTCCCAGATGTCCGGCTCAAAAACTGAAAAAAATAAAACCGACTTCGAGGTAAAGAACCTTTAAAAAGAATTGAAGCACTCCTTTTGTTAGCCCACATTGATTTGTTATAGTCCGCTAGCTCATTTTCGCGAAACTGGAGAATAGAATCTATCCTCTAAATCCCGTTTTCATCCGTTTTCTATCGTTTTCCAGTTTGACAGCGACAGCAGTGGTGCAGCACCCATGGATCAAAGAAATGACAAACCAGCCTCCAGGCTCAGGCGTCTCCGAGACTCATCTGAGCGAGAAAGATGTAAGAAACTCATTCAAGACATGTCCAAGGAGAAAACACCAAGACTTATCCAAACAAACCTGGTCAAACACCTCAAGCTGTCCCGCGCCACATCTCGGTCTCACCGTGAAAATTCGTGGTTCAAACGTGTGAATAAACGCGTTCCAACCGCGTCAGACGAGTCGGAGCCACAAGTTAGAGTCGCTTTGGGCCTGAGAGTTGGAGCTGAGCAATCGCGTTTGGGCCGTAATCCAGCTGCTTCAGTAGTTCCGCCTGCCACGTCTCGCTGACATCCTCTTGTCCTCCCTATTGGCATCGCTTCTTGGTTCTAAAGTCCAACGGAAAGAAAGAACAATAATGAAAAAGGACACATGACGTCCTTGGAATCACACGTTTTCTTTTGCCCTTTAACCACCAGGCCGAAGTTTGGAAGATGATACAGCCCCGCCTCACTCCCAAAGAGATCCGTGGCATGATACTGAAGAGCACGTTGAGATTCTTTGGTTGCCTCAGCAGCAACAGCCAAGTTGCACAAGGCACCGCAGGGCATCGCAAGGCTGCAGGGCTGTTGGCATTCTGCAGGTTCCTCTTCCCCCTTCAAACCCTTAAGCCCTGCACAGCCCTGGCCAGCTCAACAGCCGCTGTTGGGGTCAAAGACCTCCACCATGCGCCCCCACACTGCATATCAATTGAGTCGAAATCTTTGAGGTCACACTTTCCGAAATGAGCATGGCACTCCATCCAATCTGATAAGCTACTTGCTCCTGCATCACCAAGAAGTGAAGAAAAGGTAACCAAAGAAGTGTCAAAGCGTTACCACTAGGCCCTTCCAAGACTTCCTTGGCCAAGGTTCCTCTCCAATTCAAGGCCTGAGCGCAGCTCATGTTTGAGCTTAAATGGCGTTTGGAGGCTTTCAAGTCAACACCTTGAAGCGCCAAACCTATCATGCAAAAACATGTATTCCATAGTCCATCCTTTGGCACCCCAGCGTTGCAAACTTCGTTGCAAAAAGTAACCAAAGCGAGCAGCCGAAATGAAGTTTTGTCGAGCCAGCAACACCTCAACGCAAATTTGACAATCTGGAACATTCATTGAAACACATTGAAACATTCACAAGAAAGCTAAGCAGAACCGGATTTCAAGTGCCGGCAGTTGGTGTAATCGCTCCATTGTTGGTCTCTACTCTTGGTGACCGGATGCTCTTGGGGTTCCCACACTTCCTCGAAGGGCCAATTGCAAAGCCTCCTAGGAATTGATGTATGGAAATTGCTGACAACATCATACGAACAAAGGCACACCCCAAAGGTTATGGCCCGAACTGGTTCTGCCTCAACTCTCTCTTTTGCCTCTTCCGCTGCTTGTCTTACCTCACGTCCAAATCTGCAACATCTACGAGATGCTGCTCACTTTTCAAACTGAAGTCACATTGTACACTACACTGGCAATGTGGTTTTCAAGGACCTCTGTCTCGCCAGCAATCTCGTCGAGTTGGCGGAGGTACAACTCAGCCTAGCACCAGGAATGGCTGGAAACTGCAACACACACGGTTTCTGATCACTTTAGTTGGGCCAGCCAGGGGTGAACGAAGGTAGAATGATATTTTGGGGTGGTCAATGTTCTTCTGAGGAGTCTCTTCTACCAGGTGTGTTTGTTGAAGAATTGCGTGGCACAGAAGCATGCAAAGTACTGATGGCAAAGCGGTGTGTTTAGAAGCTTCGGCCGCTTTCTTGCATCTTTGCTTTCTTGCTGCCTTGCATGCTAGTTTGCTGTCTCCCTCCCTTCCTTCCTTCCTTCCTTCCTTCCTTCCTTGCCCCTTCCTTCTACCTTGCTTCGTTACTTCCTTGTTTCCCAGCGCTTTCTTCTTGAACCCCTTCCTTGCAGTCCTGACCTGACAGAGCAGCAAAAGCGACAAATTATATTAGATAAACAAACGAGAAAGTGAAGCAAGCAAAAATAACAAACCCCAGAAAAAGGATGAAAAAGAAGAAAACAGTTCTCGCGAAACTGGCAGGGCCTTTAAGCAACTGGAAGATTAGAGGGGGTTTTCAACTACATGAGTGCACTTTGTCAATTGAAAGTCTTGGTCAAATTTCAATAGGCTGTTAGTTCAAACCTGTTTCAATGCCGCTTTGGTTTTGTTGCTTTTTTCTGGCAAGTGTGGTTGTCGTTCGACCCGTGTGTTTTTTTACTGACTGATTAAGTTCGATGGTTTTCTGATGACTTCACTCCTCTGGCTCATACCCAGAAGAGTTGTAAAGTCTTCACAACTGGGCTCGCACGAGTTCTGACCGTGTTCAATGATAAATATACTAATGTCTTTGCCAAAGGAGATGAGGAAAAGATCTGGACATGCAGCAGTTAAGCTGAGGATTGCTGCCAGCGGGGTGCGAAGTAGAGGGCACAAGCAATGATTTGTGAAGGCACTGCATATGAGCCCGGTGGGTTGGGGAGAGAGAACACATCAAGACACGTCCTGTTGATTGTGGCTGTGACCAATGTGCCAGCATCTTCTTCTCCACATGTTGCCTCGCGCATGTCCAGTAGCTATGGGGAGCACGTCTGGTCCGGGCAAGTCTACTTGCAGATCATGTTCGACCCAATCATCGCTTAGGCTTCCTGGTCGTAGAGAAGACCAAATGGATGTGGTCAAGGAACTCGCAGGCGGGGCTTATGTTGAAGGCCATCGCCATTAGGTTGGAGGTTGCTATTGAAAAGGAAGACAGAATCGGGTCTAAGTCTAATAATGTCTAATATAGTTTGCTATCTCGAAGCTGAGGATGTTTGCTGGCTGGCGCAGGCGCCCAAAATGCAGCAGAGTCTTCTAGTAGGGGAGTTTTGGAGCATTCGGAGAAGGATGCAGGACAGGTGCCATTTTGGGGTGGCTGGACCTTGCAGTCGCACTGTTCAAAGAAGGATTGAAGACAAGATGCCAGCTGATGCATTGAGGGTATGACTCGCGGGGGAGGTCGAAGACGTGAATGAAGAGGAGGCCCTCCTGTGCTCCCAATCAAGCTCTTAATGATTCTGGGGCAGGAAAAATTCTGGAATGCTTGGTCCGGAATGTGAGTCAAGGAGGACCAGTCTGCCGGGATCCTGGTCTTAGTGCGGGATGGCTAAAAATCCGGTGAGGGCATCAAGACGGGTGCCTTTTTGGTACAGCTGTCTTGGGGGGGCGTCCCCTCGATCCAGAAAGCATTGGTCAATGAACGCTGAGGTAAGGGAGGCTCAAGTATCTGGAGTCGAGGGAGGAGGAGGAAACACGAGAAAGAAGGCATGGAAGAGAAAGACACCTGAAATGGGCCACTACTTTGAAAGCGGCGCGGTGCCCGGAAGAAGGTGCGCGGAGTGATCTGAAGCTACAGTGCGCATAAAAAAAGGAGCACTCCACCCCCATCAGTGAGGAGATTACCCATACGACACCTCGCCAAGATGCGGAGGGTGGAGAGAAGTAGAGCCCGAGGCAAAGGGTTCATGAAAGACTTTCAGACATCTGTTGCGTGCAGTTGCGACTCCTTGTGAAGCTTTAAACAGCCGAGGTGTTGCGAAACGTCCTTCAGATAGAGCTCACTGCAGTCTCAAGCCTCATGAGTACACATTCCGAAGTTGCATTGAATGCTGAGTCCGAGGATGTTTGAAGTCCATGGTTTCCTGGAGCCTGAGAGCCCCAAACCAGTCATGAGCAGTAGCACAGTACATCAGGCTCAAGGGAGACAGCAAACTAAAAGTTGGAAGAGGATTCAAGAAGGAAGGGGGGAAAATGTAGTAGCTCAAATAAGGAATGGCAAACACAATGGTTGGAACCCCAGCTATCATTGACTGAAAGCTTTGAAATGTTGCAAGAGATCTGCGTTGGTTATTGCACTGGACATCAAAAACCAGGCGCCTGCCAGAAGGCCTGACCTGCAGGAGAGAGTCGCTCTACCTCAAACCGTCACAGGTTCAACATGTCTTTTCGGATCCGCGTAGATCCACCTGCGACAGGAAGTTGAAAACCAGCCGGGCGTCATCGCCAAGGAAATCGAGGAGCGCCTCCTGCACAAATCTCTCCGTCTCTCCGTCAGGCTCTTTCGTCCAAAGCTCGTCCTCGGAACCTCGTAGTGGTGGGATGTCTACATACTTGGCAGGAACTGTGTAGGGCCGTAGCCTGTCAAAGTGGCTTGCTGCCGATGTGCATCTCAGTGAGTTGCACGGGTGCTCCGAATATAGTTTCTTGGAATTTGACCGGAATGTGACAGAATGTGCCAACAAATTAGTTGCACGTGATTTTGTGCTAGGTTGGAGGCCATCGCTATTATTATGTTCCTTACACGTGTTATTTGTAAAACTCTCGTTTCTGAGACTTCGAGCACGAAAACCGACAAACTGAAAACTCTGCTGTGCCAAGTGAAGATTGAAAGCGGCTAAATGTGAACATGAAACTGATGCCGAACCAACCAGCGTCAAACAAACCGGAAATGGGGTCACTGAGCCAAAAGCAAGATCAGGACCGACATATGAAAACCGTTTTGGTGTATGGAAGCTGCGTTTACACATACTGGGGCCGTCTGTGCTGTGTCCAAGCAGGTTATTGGCTGCAATGCCATTGAACTACTAGTATCTGTAAGTCTGCATGGTGTGCGTCTTTTGGATCCAAATCCATGCCATGTCATTATCTGTGCATTGTCCTGTTGCTGCCATGAGAAAACTTTACTTCGAACTATCCCCAACCGCCCAGGTACACTGGTATGATGACTGGGTCGGCTGACTGCCTAGGCATCCCTTGGAATCCCTTGGACAACGGTTACACTCGGCCTTGTCATTTGTGTCATTGCGTGTTGTCCGGTTTGTTGTCAAGTCGTAAACGTGTTGTGGTTCACTGGCCTGGGTGATGCACTGCAGCAAAGGCGGGTTGTCTATTTAAATCTAGCTACCCCAATCAACGGTTTCTCAATTTATGGGCGGTGCAAAACCGTTTCTGACTCAACTCCGGCCTGTCTAGCGCACTCTCAGCCATTACAGCAGCTGCTCTCCACGATCGCTGAGCGAAAGCAGAATTCAGCAGAGAGGAACCACAGCTAAGTGAAATTGAAGAGCTCAGCATCAAGTCTCTTAAGTCTGTTGAAGTCTTTTGCCATGACCACTTGTGCTACTTTTGCCATAAGAAACGAAACCAATGGCGACTTCAACTTGAGCAAATTCGACGACAAATTGGCATTGGGATGCCTCGTCTGCAGCGCCTCGGAAGCAGCATCTTGAACTCATTGGCTGAGAGTTCGACAGGTCACAAGAAAAGGCGTTTGTAAAAACGACGCCGAAACCCTACCAATTGTTCTATCTTGTTTAATCTCTTTTTCCCCCGGCCCGTCATGGCCCATCACTCAGGTTTCTGTCTTCACAGGCCGGGTAGCCCACTTAGACTTGAAACTGAGGGAAGTAGATCGTCAATTTGCGTCTCCACTTTGAGGCATCTCAAGACTCATCGTAGCCAGAATGGGTTTGGGGTGAGTCAAGTTGATTATGGGATGTTATTCAATGGCCAGGACGGGGAGGGACTGGGCTAGCTTTCATGCAAAGACCTGCCCTAAGGAGTTGCTCAGGCACCCAGAAGCCGAAGCCAAAGATTGTCTCCACGGAGGCCATTGCTCTAGTTCAAGCACTGCCTTTGTATCGACGAATTGCATATACTAGTATCGTCCTTGATGCGTCCTTGCTACTACTACCGATGGCCTCCAACCTAGAAGCGATGGCCTCCGCCTAGTAGCTTCTTGTTACAGTACTAATGCATATGTTTTTCAATGGAAGTCCTCACCAAAACAACACGGGTTGGGGCGGCCCGGTGCGAATAGAAATGGCGCTGTGGCGCTGAGCAGGCTGGTGGTGCTGTCACGCTGTTGGCGTGGTGTGGCGCTGTGTGGTGCAAACTAGGTCTCGCAAAGGATGGTATCCAGTAGCTTCCCAGCTGGCAGCTTCGCAGCTCCAGTCAATCTTTCCTGACCCAACCTCAAAAAAGCACTCGGATGGAGACACACATTCATGATCTGATCTACTTTCTTTCACTTCGTCAATTGTGTATGTAGGCTAAGGTGGGCTAGGTGGGCTCGAGTGGTGAAGACAGAAACGAGCAAAAAATAATGATGCAGGCCGCTTGGTGTGTGGGGAGCTGCAGCCGCCAGACTGAGAACACCACAACCCGAACCTACAAAGTCTTCGTGTATTCTTCGTGTCGCTTCTTCTTTTCTTTGTCTTTTCAGCTTCCAATTCAGTCTTTCTATAGATCCTTTCAGTTCTGGGTTCTATACAATCTTACTTTTTGGTTCGCTATAGCCACCCATCGTGTCTTTCAATGTTTGTGTGGCAAACTCTGGGTTCCGGCTGTCAGTCTCGGTGGCATCCGCCTTCCCAAGTTTCTCGTGTGCTAAGGCTGCTCAAATCCCTGGTGTTCATTCTAGCTTCTTGTTACTACTAGTAAGGCACTTGTTACTAGAAGCGATGCACTTGTTACTAGTAGCTTCTTGTTTGATCATACTTCTTTGCCCACCTCATCTTGCAGCATAAGCCATTTCGCATCTGCCCGCGCTAAGGCATCAGCCAGCGCACGTTGGGGAGCCTCACGCTTGAACGATTTGGAACCGTCTAACGGGTCAGATCACTCCAGAAGAACTCCCCACTTGGATCAGCACTTCACGCCAGAGATTTCGCTCCTCAGGACTCTCCTGGGGGGGGGGGGGAGAAAGCTACTAGGAACAAGTGCATCGCTTCTAGTAACAAGTGCCTTACTAGTAGTAACAAGAAGCTACTAGGAACAAGTGCCTTACTAGTAGTAAAACATGGAAAGGTAAGCGCAAGAAAGATGTGTTTGGCCGGGCGTGTGTTCAGATTTGCAGTAAGCCTTTCCGGGTGTCCCTTTCCCGGCCTCAGAAGCCTGGCGACCCAGGGAAGAGCATTCTCTTCGGGCTCGTGGACCTCCTCAACACATGCATTTGTCGTTTGTTCCTTTTGTCACCTGTCTACTAAGCCTAGCCTACTAGCAGATAGCTTGGAGGCCATCGCTCTTAGGTTGGAGGCCATCGCTTTCTTTGAGTTCCTCTTGGAGCTATCCATGTCACCATCCGATGACCCAAAAGGCTTGCCACCAATACCTCGAGCAACTAGCAGCGAGTGCTATCAGACCGCCCACTATCAGGTCACTACCAGCACTTCAATCTCAGCACAAGGAACGAATCCATAAAGTCTCAGCGTTCCAAAATCTCTCGCCATGGCGTCACATTCCCAAATGGTTGGACAAGTCCCCCAAATGAATGAAGCTGAGGCTTGGTCTGCCGCAATCACTACATGTTCTCGTCATCTACCTGTCGTTCTCTCTCCTCTGGATCTCTGTCTGGACATTTTTGAACACCTACGAACTTACAAGTTTGCTAGTGTCCACTTTTACTAATGTCATCTAATGTCTACAGCTTGGAGCCACTCGTGCAGCGCATGATAACAAGAAGTCAACACAAGGTGGCAAATGGGTGAGAGGCTGGCAAACATGCGAACCCTTAAGCACAAGAGTGAGATGCTCAATTGTTTGCTCTCTCTTTTCCTGGTTGTTCAAGGCTCCTTGGGTTCTTTGCGAGCACGCTTCCGTTGATATTCTTCCAGCGCGGCACTGGCATCGTTGATTTGACCGATATTGGTCAAAGTCCGATGCTCCACCGCGTTGAGTTTGTTGGTGAACTTGGAACATTGGAAGTTCACACTCTTGAGGTGCTCCATGGCTCTGCTAACTTCTTGCTGCAGTTCTTGCAGGAATTGATCTGCCGGTTGCTGCTGCACAAAAAGCCGCACACTCTGCACTTGAGCTGGAATCCAAGGTGAGTGTAGGACTTGGATTGGTAAAAGAGATAAATCAATTGCCAAAAACATCTGAAACAAATCTTCTTCGTGCTCTGCACTCCAAACCCCGTTTGGTCGGCACAAATCTCGATACGTTCCCTTCAAGTATTCCAATGCTTGGCGAACTAAACCAGCATCTTCGCACAAAGGCCAACAAGCCAAGTCCCAAAGTATCTTGAGCTTACCGATTTCACAATACGAATTCTTAGCAACTTGCGAAGCACTCGAAGGTTGTTTGTGGTCGGTGTTGTTAACCTGCAAGTGCGTCAACGTCAACCACAAATGCCTCATAATCACATGACGCCCGTAATGCAAAATTGGTTTGTCAAGCATAGCTCGGCCCTCCATCATCGTCCTCCGTAAGAGGTCAATGGTCAACAAGCCCTCGTCCCAAAGGCAGCTGCCAGTGACTTCCACAACCTGTGGCTGTGGAGAGCACACGTCGTCTTCGGGTGCCATCTTGCGCAAGAGTTTGCGGGAATCACTCCCGGAGGACGAAGATGAACTGAATGAATGTGGCAAAAAGCCTTGCTGGAAAAGAAAAGAGACGTGGAAAAGGCGTCGTCCCAAATATTCCAACCTCCATAAACAGTGCTGTCCAGCCCAATGATCTGGACACCTTCGCTCAGGCCCCATCTGAGTGGTGTGGACGTGTGCACCGGAGTTTGCTTTCTTCCCTGCATCCATGCACGCACCCAGGATTTCGTTCATCAGTTCACTCGCCAGGATGAGATGGCAGTGATCCCAATTCAGGAATTTTGCAAGTAAAACATGTTCAATAATGTCAGAAAGCTCCTCTGCTTCCAGCTGCCTGTAGCGGCACAAGACACGCAAAAGGGCATTGGAAGCACTTGGATGTGCAACCACATCAACCAACCAGGCTGGTGGCACAGGCGCAGGGTCCGACGCAAGTTTCTGCATCAGCTCATTTTCAGCAAAGGTGCGCTTGAAGATGTCCCGCGCGCGACTAACACCTTCACCGGGAGAACCGGCACCGACTCCCGAGCGGCTCAACAAAAGAAGAACCCGCACCAACAATGCAGACCAATTTGGTGAGAGCCGCTCAGTGTCCACATAGGCCATGAGTTCACGGAAAACCAGAAGTGTTGAGTCCTGCGCAGTCTCCACCAGATCTGCAGGCAGATCATCATGCACCTCTTTCGCTTCACCAGAATCAGAAGTTTACCAGAAACATCCGACTGTGAGAAGGTTTAAAGGTCTAAAGAACTGACAACAAACAAACAAAGGATGAGAAAAAACTGGTTGCATGGCATGTACACTAGGTGCTTCTTACTTACCCTTTCTGTCTTAGAGGAAACCAGGGGGCCGGGAGGAAGCCCATCTATTTGCGGGATGAAGCCACTACTACTACTACTACTACCCAACGCGTGGGGCTACGAGGGCCAGCCGGCCACCTGCCCCAACGACCAGCGAAAGGGTGTGCCCTGAAAGCTGGACGGCTCTCATCTTGCTTGCTGGTTGACGAGGCGGATGGAAGACGAGACACAGCCACTTGTCACGGCCAAGATGGTCAAGGATAGGTAGGTGGAGTTCCAAGAACTATATACTTTACTGAAAGTTTCCAGGAGGGGAAAGGGGGAAAAAGGATGAAAGTGCTCGAGTGCTCGTGAAAACGGCGATTCATTCCGCTTACGAATTGCCGCATGGCTGACATCGTTTTTTGCATCCAAGACTTCGTCTTGCAGCTGGGGGCGGCTAATCTAGAGCCGACAGATTTGCCCAATGAGGTGTTGTGGTCACAGTTGCTTCACGGAGTTCTTTCGCTGCCAGGAATGTGATGCTACTAAGTGCGCGGCGATATTTTGTTGGGAGTATGAAGAAATATATATTGAAAGATTTGAGCTCACTCCGTAGGTCACAAACTGGGTTGAATACAGCGTTCTTGTGCAGGATGTTTCGTTGGCGTTGGTTATTCAAAGACCACCCCGCAGCAACGTTGAACATTGACTAGTGACTAGGTAGAATTACAAAAAATATCGTCTGGCAGCTGCCTGGTCTTTTTGTCAATTGCCTTTGTTTAAAGAATTTGCATGGCCTGCCCTTGACATTGAAACCTCCACATGAAATAGGCACATCATGCTTGGCATACGTCAGCAGTCTACTAGAGGGTGGTTTCTTCAACAAGGTTCCCTCTGAATTCAGTGAAGTCCAAAGGCAAAAAGGTGAAGTCACCTGCCCTCCTTGTGTTGGAAAGCTTCAAGAATGTGGTAGGTTGGAGGCAGTAGGCTGGAGGCCATTGCTATTAGGGTGGAGGCCATCGCTATCAGGGTGAAGACCATTCCTGCGGCGTGAAGGGGACGCGTGAAGCTGCCCTTCCAGTTCACCACTCTCGACACCCTGTTCATGCGGTGGCTGCGGTCGCGAGGAAGTTAACTGTTTAATTCCTGTTCAAAAAAATGCTGTGGTCTGCTCTGGTATTAAGGTCAACTGCCACACTGGCCCACGCTTTGCGTTCCACTTTCAGACTTCAGGTTTCGGCCTTGTTTCTACGCAGCATGCAGTTGCGCCAGTGCCCGGACTGGTCCCGAGTCTCATCAGAATCAAGAAGACAATTCATGCAAGATTCGCATCAACGCTGCTCTGTTTGAAAAGGCCTGTGACCAACCCGAATCCCCATAAACTGACACAAAGCATCCATAATGGGGCGGCATGACAGGGCACAGTCGGGCACTGTGGCCATCCTCCCAAAGGTTAACACGTTTTGAAACTGTTCACGTCCGGTCTCCAGCTCCATGCTGTAAGAAACGATAAGATAAGGACATATATTATACAAGGCTATTATACAGAACCTTTCAACGGTTGTCGTTTTGGAGGCGGCTTGCCCACATTCCCGTTAGAAAGGACGACCCAAGATGTTGGTTTCAAACATTTTGTGGAAGCGTTCCCAAAAAATCTTCGTGCGAGCTTCTTCAAGGAAGCTCCCCCCGCCGCCTTTAGGGAGGCAGGGGGAGCATCCTTGAAGAAGCGTGAGCACTGCGTCCAGTAGCTAGCAGGGTACCTAGTAGCTACACCTCTTCTTCTACCATCTTCTGCCTAGCTACTTAGCTACCTCTAGTGGCCTACCCCCCCAAGAAAAAACAGTATCCTCGCCTCTTCATCCTCCTTAAACTCTCCTGCCATCGCAGCCTGCTTCTGTAGGACCTCCGATGGTGCAGCTGAGGCGAGGCGGCGGCGCATACAGCGCAGCGCGAAGAAGTGCGAATCCCACGCAACTTTGGCGCGCAAAGGCTTGTCCATCAAGTTCCTTGGAGAGTAGAACTCTGCTAGAACTCTGCTACATGAACATACCAAAGAACACACAAATCCAAAGCAAACAAGAAAAAAAACAGTTGCAAGTCTTGAAGCAGAAAGCCCGCATTTGAATCTAAAGCCTGAGGTTCTTCCACAGAGCGCTCACTGGTTGCATGGCACTGGAGACGAAGCCCGATTCCTCTTCTCGAAGTCGCCGAAGGCGCAAGAGCTCCGAGCAAACCCGGAGGCTTCCGGTGGCCAAGCGCGGTCCGAGAACGAAATCTCCCCCATCCAACTGCGATGCCAAGGTCAGAGCGGCCTTCTCTGTGCATTGCCACATCAAGGTCTCAAAGTGAAATAATCGAAGAAACTGTTTGCAAGAAAATGACACCGGCACTGACTCTTGAGGATGGCTCAAGCCCTCATTCCAGCTGCCGAGGTCATTCTGTGCACTTGTTCCAACTCCTGATGTCTCTATCGCATGCTCTGAATCTGCCGGGCTGCTGGCTGCAGTGTAAGGCAGCAAATGTTCCAGAATCTCCGCACGGCGTCTCGACGATAATGAGAGTACAAATGAAGATTGCATCACTCCTTCGAGCAAAGATGGGCATTCCAAGAGCCAAGTGGCCTCAAGTAAATCCAAGACCGTCTCTTCCGCCACATTGAGCACATCTCGATCAATCAGATAGCAAACAATACTCCTAAACCTCTCTAAGCCTCCAGGGAAATCCAGCAAAGGGCATTCTTTGGCATCAGTGCTTTGGACCTGCAGAAACAATCCAGAAACTTCGGCCAGCACATCCACATCCACCTGCAACCGTTCATGGTCAATGATGACGTCCACAGTCTTGTGGCCTTCTCGTATCGTTGGCAGGCTGGGCCCGTCCGCAGACGAACCGAACAAGTAGCTAAACATGGCGGGTGCACGTGAGGCAAGCTAGAATCATCCAGATATTCTTGGAACACTTGTTATCTGATCGGTCAGATGTAACATCGACCCCTCGTGAAACCCAAGAATCTAGAAGCAAAGATGAAGTGTCTTCCGCTAATTCACGGATTCAAGTGTCCTTGTGCGGCTATGGAATGGAATCAAGAGGGTTATAAGTTAAGTTATAGCGAGGGGTTGCATTGTATGAACTTGCATATGTATGAACTTCCTCTGCGATGGTGGGATTTCACGAAATTACACAACTGCTGGCACATGATGAAATGATACCGTTTCAAGCAAAATCATCTGGGTATGTATCACAACAAGAGCATTTGAAATCTGCAGCCTTCTAGAAGCCACCAACATGCATTCAAACTCAGCAAACGCAAACTAGTCGCCCTGCAGGAAACGTTCTGCCTGTTTGAGCAAACATAGACGTTCTTTAGGTAACAGCTGCACTTCCGCTAGCAAGAATTCAACGTGAGCATTCACATCCCTACGATGTAGTCAGGCCAACGATGACAATAGGAAGCAACCATCATAGAAACTTGGTGCACCTCTCCATTTGTGTGTCATCCTTGCGCAGGGGGGCCAATGATCGTTTAAAGGGCTTTCACCGCTGGTGTGGTAGTAAGTTCATGCCACTGGTCTGTAAGTTTTCTCAGCTGGCAAGGTGGTAGGTTTCAGATGTTACATGGCTGGTGCTGTGACAAGTTCGTTCTGCTGGTTAAGTGGTGCATATGTCGCCAACTCAATTGTTGCATCTTCTGACTAAAATAAGCGGCACAAGCTGATGAGGAAACAATTTTGCATGTTGTGTATGCTGTATGCTCACCACTGGTGGTGGTGCAGTGCCATTCACAGCTGTGCCTCCAACCTAATAGCCATTGCCACAGCCTCCAACCTAATAGTAATGGCCTCCCCCCTATAGCAATGGCCTACAACCTAACAGCGATGCCCCCCCTAATTGCAATGGCCCGTAATAGCTATGGCCTCCCTGACCGCTTTCATGCTCCCTACTGGTGTGCGGTGTGTTGAACTTCGCATGTTACGACAGCCCAGCGCTGAGTCAAAGAGTGGGAAATGGATCCCGACACCCGCCCTACCCGGGGATGATTGATGACTTGCCTGCTTCGCAAATCAAACGAGCCATCTGCACGTCCAGAGGTGACTTTTCGCGACAACGGAAGAATCAGCGTGATAATTTTGCCCTGCACGATGTTCACATGCGCGTGCCTTTGAAAGGAGCGCCAACAGAAAAGAAGGGGACAGGAAAAAGTGGGCACACTGAGACAAGTTCCTGGGAGAACCTTTTTGGTTTTCTGGGGCTAGTGGACTGGTGCAGAACTTGCTGGTCATAATTGCTTGGTTTGTTCCTTGTGCACGCTTCTCTCTTGCGGGTTGCCAATTTCCAAGGGCAAGGAAAAATATGTCTTCACTGTATCTTGGGAGGACTTCGGTTTAAATACCCACATATGTTTGACCATCTCTGATCTTACACATTCGCTGATGAAGCAAAGGCCTTCACATTTGCTGATTTCAAGCAACAGCTCCACCGAAGTGAGCTGCAGAAAGGTCAGGTATTATTCTTTTTACGTGTGTATCACTTCAGATCCGCCGGGCAGTAGACTCAGCAAAAGCACGTACAGCCACAGGAGGGTGGTGGCGCCGAACTGCAGGGGACAAAGCACTCCAAGAAGATGCACAAACTGTTCAAACCTTTCCTCTCACTTAGGCTACCACAAACATTCGGCGGAAGAGAGGTTGCTTGAATAGTACAGCCATGAATTTCCTTGTGCAGCGCAGGGTGCCACCACAAATTCTTCAATCACTTGCCGTAAGGCATTGCAACCACGTAGTATCAGTACCATGCAATGTCGCGCACCTTCTGAAAGTATTTGGGTTTCAAAGCACTTTCAAGGGTCATTGAGGGTCAGGCAGCATTGGCTCATCGAGAAGCCGAAGGCATGGGTGCTACAGGACAAGGAACCAAAGGAAACAGCATGTGACAGCTCCTACTAGGTTGGAGGCCATCGCTAGTAGGTCGTAGGTTGGAGGCCATCGCTAGTAGGTTGGAGGCCATCAAAGAGTGGACTCTCCGCTTGTCTCACTTCATGCCTGCACTGTCACGTCGCCGAAGGCTTTGGCAATCGCCGTGTGTGCCTCCAACATGATGTCTCCAGAGTCGACCTAGTCACAAACTGATCTTGGCATCAGGTGAATGTTTCTGAAGAATCTTGGTTTTGTCTGGTCAAGAAGTCATAACCCCACAAAACATGTAGGAAGTCAGTGCAAGTTGTAAGTTGAAAGAGTGTATGCGTGTGTGTGTGTTTGTGTGTTTGTCTCTTCAATTCTCTGCTTTTCCTTCAAAGCCTTCGGATAAACTTCTGTCATGACACACCAGCGCTTGCTTTCACCAGGAAGCGGCGCTCCATGGCGGCCTTTTCTGCCTTGCTGGAAGCGTCTGCGCTATGAAGACACGACGGAAGTCAACAAATTACTACAGTAACCTTCACCAGCATCGGTCCTTAATCTACGAAACCATTGAAAATGCAGAAATGTCTGAAAAACTTGACCAAAATGCAAAGGGGTCACCAACACTGTATAAACAGTCAAAAAGGCCAAAACCTGCCTGCAAATCCTGAATACGCCTTTCTTTGGCCTCGCCGGCTCTGCGCAAGTAGGTTACCTGGAATTGGCCAAACGAAGATTTCTGTTGCAATCACATTTATGTTTGATGCCGGAACCGCTTCCATAATGCCAAGAGATCTTCAAGAAAGCTTGCGGAAAATTCGAGCCCTTCTGCATCGCTACCCCCCAACAAAATAAGCAAAAAGGTAGAGGTGATTGCTCGTTCTCGCAGCCATGGCAGCCTCATCCAGAAGCTCCTGCTCCTTTTGGCTTACCTCTCGTTGGAGGCGTTCCATGAAGTTGGCCTCACATCTCACGAAGCCGCTGAGCTGCTAAGCTAAGCCGGTGCTTCTTGGCACTAGTTTTCTTGTGTTAAGAAAAAGGACAGGTGTACAGAAAGCAAGAGAAATAAGAATGATTAAGACGATGAAAAGAAAACAATGAGTCTTTGTTTGCACATGTTTCGTGCAAGGAGTTGCGAAAGGTAGTTCGGTCAAGTCGGCCTAACTCCTCGTGATTAGAATGTGACTGCGGCAAATAAAACCGTCATACTTTGCAGCGTTCTGACTTTGTGCCTGGGTTTCTTTTGGCCTATAGGCTTAGACATGAGATGTGTTCTTTTATTTTTACCCCGCTCTTACTCAACTATACAAGTAGGCGGCGACTTAACTCAGTACGGGCTAGGTAAGTATATAAGTTGCTATACTTCTAGGAAGCTTACTCGCAACTGGACGGAGGAAAGCGCGTGCTTCTTCAAGGAAGCTCCCCCCATCGAGCTTTTTTCTGCACCATTCATTTGGTTCCTAGATGTTTTTGGAAACTCAATCTTAACATAATCGGTCTTCCTTTTCTTTGCTATTATCTTTTCCTCTTTGGACATCTAGACTTTGGACCTGTCTTCTGTCCTTTCAATTGTTACATCCTATCACTTCCCTCAATGTCTTCTTTCCACAAGCGTCTTTCCGTTTCTTCTTTCCTCAATGTTTTGTTCTCTGTGGAAAGGGTCTAGTTTTCTGTTCATTCTCCGTCTGCGCTCCTCGAAGTCTTGCAACCTTTTGGCCGAAGACTTGAGATCTTCCTCCAGTCTCGCTTGGGCCTCGCCACTCCGACGACGGCCCGTAGCGCGGCCCGAAAAACGGCTGCCATCACTTCGTTCCAACCTCTGCAGCCCGTGCCATGGCCAAGTCCTTTTCCTGGAGAAACGTAGCTGACAAACAAGTCAAAAAAGTCGCAACAAAGGTCAACATAGAGCAACTTTGTTGTCTTCTCCTGCGCCGCACGTCTCAGTAGCAACACCTGCCAAGTGTACGAGGCTCCTAGGGCTCACCTTTCTGCTCATGTGGAAAGAGCTATTGAAACCACTGAAATGTGTCAACCCTAGCCACTAAGCCTGCCTGGGCGGTACACTTCGACCTCGTTGTAGTAAATAGCGATGGCCTCCACCCTAGCTTCTTGCTACTAGTACGCCAGGAGCTACTAGTAGCTTCTTGTTTAGAAGTCACGATGGCCTCCAAACTACTAAATGAAAAATGTTCTTCTTGGCCGAACCTCTTCTTTGGCTTCGTCCGCTTGCCGCAGGGCATCATCAGAGACTCCAGAGAGCTCCGCCAGGCGGCCCTGCGGTGAAAAAGCTTTGGACTCATATGAGATTAGTCGTTCATTTCTTTGGACTCATCTTACTTTAGGCATCTTTAGGCCTTTATTCACTTTATTGTCTCTTTCGTTCTTCTTTTCTCTTCTCTCTCTTTCTCTCAGCCGTAGCTGCTCAGATTCACAAGATCTGCTGTGGGATGTCCATGCAGAGACACTTTCAGCATGAAGAAAATGGCAACATACCCTGCAAACGTGCGTTGAAGTATGTTCCCATGAACAAACTGCAGCGACTTATTCTTGACACGAACGGTGAGAATCTGAATCCTAATGTACAAAGCCTTTTAGCTGCCCGGACTGGTGCCGGGATTCAATTCCAACTCCAACAATGTATTGGCATTAGCACGCTCTTGCAACAAGAGCAACAAGTCGGCGTTCTGTGTTTCCAAGCATTTGCAGAGTTCGAGCATTTCGTCCGCAGCTTCAACAACGCCAGGTTCAATTCTCGTCTCAGGAGAGAGACTGCGCAAACTGCGCCATGCACCAAAGACTAATTCCAACAAAGTTCGGTGACCTAAGCACTTCAGCAGCAAAGTATAGGCGTAGAGACGTGGAGGCGAGCCCCTTGAGCCCCCTCGCCAATGATAAAAGCTCAGAATCAAGACAGTCATGCTCAAACTTTTCTGACTTTCTCTGAATTGCTTTTGAAAACTGAAATGCCGCAGTCTCTGGCACTGCTTCATGCACACTGCAGCCATCCATGAACTAAGAATACGTTGCAAAGAGCACATCCTTTGCATCTTGCACATTCTTCCGGATAAGACCGTCCCCAAGCCTTTGCTCACTGCGCTTTGCCACCATGCCGAGAAGATTCTTCGGCAAACCCTAAGCCCTTGCCTTTGAAGCCAGTAGCAGCGCTGGCGTTGGCAAAATGTCTCCAGCGCCAGCAGCCTCACTTTGCTGGTCGCGTACCGGCGGCTGCTCCAACTCTGCGCCCACTCACGCATGCACGAGGAGAGCAATAGTTGATTCTTTAGCAGAACCTGACTCTTCCGCAGAACCTGACTCCGCCACTGGGAGAAGATCGCAGGCATCCGAAAGGCACGATGGGGCACATGTTGTCGAAGCCATGCTTCAACTTGCCGCAACTGCTGTTTGAGGCGTTCTGATTTCTTGTTGCAATCGTAAGCTTCGTTTTGGTGCTTTTCCAGGATCTGAGCACGCCAAGCTCCGAGGCAATGCCTCAAGAGATAGCGGTCTTGGCGAGCAGATTCGGCCCATTCGCGCCGTCGGCATTGCATGGCGAAAGCACTCCACGCACGATAGCACCGAAGGAGCAAGAGTGCGGAACATCTTTGACCCTGGCTGCGGTGCCAAAGGCACCAACCTCGAAACGCCACCGATTTGGCAGAAAGCCAAGGCCCACGACGTAAGAAACGACACAAGACCTCTGAGCGTTGCTCCAAGTCCTCGCAGCGTCGCTTCACCAGAGCCGTGCGCTCTTTGGCACTCAGCAATGCACCGATCCTCCATGCCTTGAAGCAATGTGACTGCCACACTTCCGCTTGAGCAAGACTTGCAAATGCAGTGGCTGCGTCCACACGGCGGCCTGCGCAAAAGTAATGGCACCAGGCCACAAAAGAAACACGCAACTCTTGCTTGCAACGATGTCTTGCTGCTGCTTGAAGAAGCTGTTCACTATGGCCTCGGGTACGAAGTCCCAGCCGTTCCTGCACAGCAACAGCCAAAAAGTATCGCCAGCACTGAAAAGCCAAATGGATGGTTCCAACTGTGGATTTTTCCTGCTCCCACCGCAACTGCAAGCGGTCGAAGCCGTGAAGTCGATTGAGGAGCTTCTGCCAAGCATTCCAAGCATCACTGAGAAGTGTGGCATCCTTCTCCAGGACACGGCTGTAGGTGAGTTGTGTGATCCGAGCAATGAGTCTTCGGCCTTTCAAGTGTCGAACCCATCGCTCAAAGGATCGACTGGTACATTCGCCGACCCGGGAGCGACTTGCACACCAAGGTAGCAGCTTCAGCACCGCATTTCGATGCAGCTCTTTCTGTGATTCTCCTCTCCTTCTATGCCGCTGCTCAGCCATAAGAAGTGCCCAAGCGTGAAAAGAAACAGAACAAGCTGAGCATCTGAACAACAAGTAGAGCTGAGCTGCGACCTGCCCGGACATGCCTTTGAGGTGCTGGGATTGTCGGCCGAATCGTACATCGTGCTCCCGCTGCAACTTGCAATCTTGAAGAAAACTGATCCAAACCGACCAAGTCTCTTCCAAGAGCCTTCGTGGCAGTGCACGTGCAATCCGACGCCCAAGGCGGCATGCGTGCATCCAACCCTTCCATTTCTGAAACGATCGAACCAGATTGTAAAGGCTAGCCTCGCGGTCTTTGGATGCATAGGAGCGTTCTAGGACTCGATTGTGCAGCATCGCCCTGTGGATGTCGAACTGCCATTGATGTCTCTGATGCTCAAAGCTTTGCAAAAGTCGGCGTCTTTCCGTGAGAAAATGCCAAGAGCGCAGCAGCACCAAAACAGAACCCAGGTGCCAAATCGATCGCAGCGCTTCCGAGGCCTCAATGCCCAATCGCCTCACCAGTCACACTTAGCGTTTGAGGTGATTACCGGGTTCCCAAGAGCGATGGCCTCCAACCTACTAGCCCAACCGTAAACTGGCCATTTGGGTGCAAAAAGATCCAAAAAGAGCAAGAGAGTTTAGAGAAAGCTTAGAGTTTAGAAGAGTCGTTTAGTCCGGGACAATTAATCCTCTCGCATGTGCCACTGACTATGACAACCCTTTGGTTTCAACGGTTCTTGAAGGGCGTGCCAAAGGCTCTCTCTTGCACAGGGTTGCCAAATTCCCAGAACAATCTCTTCTTGATAGGCATAGAGATATTCACGGAGTGCGTGTAAGTGGTGGAATGTAGAAAAAACTTTGGGGGAGGCCCCACTTGCAAGACAGGCCCAACCTGCCTTAGCTGATGGTCTCGACGACTCTTGAGCTTGCGCAGCTGGTTCTCTGTACAAAAGGCCATCCAGCTCTGCAAAAACAAGCGAAGCTTCTGCATGTTGGACTGCTTCGAAACCATTCTCAGAGAAAGCATTTGCTTCTTCTCGAGGGACCACACCAAGAATCGTTGCGCTTTTTGGGCCTTAGCACCCTCATGCCACACGTGCCAGACCAAACGCAGGATCTCGCGAGCTACCCTGAGGGCCGCATTTCTGATGTGCTGTCTGGACTGCCTCGAAGAAGCACAAGTGTCATACCACGCTCTCATCACATCCATCATGGTTATTGCAGTCCTTCGAAAGGTCCGTGCCACCAAGGGTGATCTCGCTCGGTCAAGGTCCGGCCGCCGAAGCCGGTAGCCGGGACCTGCGGGATGGGTGTGTGGATTCGGTTGGAAGACTACCTGGGTCGGAGCCCCACCCAGCTGAGCCAGCGTGGCCGAAACTACTGCTCCGTTCCAAGCTTGCAGAATGAAATAGGCCAAGTCGTAGTCACGCAAGGTTCGCAATGCAGATGCAGCCCGGTTTTGCAAGACTTGGGACTGCAGCCCGATGTTTCTGGGACTGTGCTGCCAGGCTCTATGCCTCATAGACATGCGCATGCTTGAGCCACGCGGAGTTTCCACTGCTCCACGCCAAGCCCACAGAAAAAGCTGCAAGCGCCAAGCTGGAAAGGCTCTTAAATCCAATGGCTTTTGCTGACGATGGACTGCCAAGCGCCAGTGGCTCAAGACCAGTTGCAAAAGAGAGCTGGACAAAAAAACGCATAGAATTGTAGCGCATCTCAATGTGTTCAAACTACGCAGCTGTCGCCCTCTCTGGGCCTCTCTCGGAGAGTCGATCGTCGCACCACCTCTCCGAGTCTCGTTTGGTGCGCTCGGGCGGCCCAGCGCGATGTGGAAATGCCAGGCCCTGAAGATGTCAGCTCTCCTTCGCCGCAAGCTTCGCCGATGCAGCACATCGACGACATCTGAACGAAGTAATGAGAGTTCCACCGACAAGCTGTCCAAATGAGCCTTCAGAGCAATCTGATGCTCATAGTCTGCATTGATCCATGAAAGCGGTTCCAGAATTCCAACTTGCCCTGGCATCTGGCTCTTTGTGAGCCCTCCTGGCAACACGGGCAAACCTCCAACATCAGCCAATGGCTGCGAAGGTGCATGGGTTCTGCAGAGTCCGATTCTCAAAGCAGATTTCAACAGTCTTTGACACGGCATCCATGCCATCCGTGCCTCCAGCTCTGCAAGATGCGCGAACGCCTCATGCATCTGTTGCCCAAAATAGAAGTCTAAATCTGAGCAAGAACAGTAACAAGAAGCTACTAGGAACAAGTGCATCGCTTCTAGTAACAAG